AACACAAATGTTACCGTGTAAAATATTAAACTAAATCGATGGCTTGAAACAACTTCCATTTCGTGATTTGCCCATTGTCCCGACAGATCAAAACTGTTCGCTCGGCTAGCCCCAACTGAAGTCTGCCAGGTTATACTTTGTGCAGCCAGTGCAAGATGTAATCACCAGTAGGTCTTCTCGGGTCACGCACCATGTTGATTTGAAAAGGGCCATTGTTCATGAATAGAAGCCAGGTAGCGCATGGATGTTTCAAAGTTCTGGATAAGTGATCTTTGTGTTTGCTTATTGCTTTCATTCCTATAATGTGTTAATGATTTTGTTTTACGCAAAACATAAAAGCAAGAACCCCTTTCATTTACCCAAAAAATATATTTCCTACTGCAGGTCGATTTGCTTAACGCTACCATCAAGCCAATTCATAATGTCTCCGATCTCTTTGGGGCGTCATTTTCATAGGGCTGCACTTTTACACCTACTTATGTCAACAACTGATATGTCAACAACTACGTGAGTGAACAATTACGATATGCCATCAACTCTAGTATGCAAACAGCTACGTTGTCAACAACTATGCTATAACCAATCAGAATGCGCGTCATCTTCCCGAGGTTAAAGAGTAAATGACTTTAAAAGTCCAGTTTCCACCCTTGCCGAACTAGGCTGGAATTACTGGGCTCGATCGTAGCACCACCAGTGGCTATTACGAGTTATGTCCTTTCTATGCCTCTCCTATTGACCAATCAGATTCAACCTCTCGTATCACTAACATTTGCTTCAAACAAAACGGTGGCGCCAAGTCAAGACGATCTGATTGATAATCAAGATCTATATTGTGATAAAACGAGTCTTACATCGCGAAGTGCATCAAATCACGTGAGCACCTTGATTGAAAGCATGAAAAGATTTAGAAAATATCTGTTGACAACGAGTTAGCGGTGCACATGCTTTGCAAATCCTGCAGTCGACCGAAATCTGCATGACACTTTACGAACCGGATTTCGATTTCAGTGCGCGATTTTGATTGGACTATGCATAGACTCGTTAGTCCAGCCAAATGTAACTCCATAATACCAGCCTAGTTCGGCAAGGGTGGAAACTGGACTTTTATAGTCAGTTAACTCACTTGCTTCGGGAAGATGAATGCGCGTATGACTTGAATACATCAGTCAAAGAATCCTTTAGGAATATTTTTTTATTTCTCATGTGTCTTGCATCTGATGATATACCCAATATACAGTTAATGTGTTCGATCATACTGTATAAATACCGTAAGTCCCGATATGTTTAAATAGCATCTGGTATATATGTGACATGGCGGAAATATACGTTGATGATAGCGTAATGAGTTGATAGTTCTTTCAACTAAGCCCGGTTGCGGTTAGGCGGAACCCAGTCGCAAAATCGGCCACGAGAGAGGCACGAGTCGCTATATCATTCGTGACCAACTCGTGTTATTCCGGGACAATCCGAATAGCGACTCGTGCCCCTCTCATGGCCATTTTTGCGACTGGGTTCCGTCTAAGCGCAAACGGGCTTACCTAAAACAATTGTCAACTCGTTGCGTAATGGTTCACATATACTCACACGCAAAAGAAACGCAAGTGGTTTTAAGCAAATAGGTAACAAACACGGACCTATAAATTGATACGAGTTTTAGCATGTAGTGAAGCCTGATGGTATTATCAATATTTTGGAAGCCCCGAGTAAAAACGTAACATAAAAAACGAATCGCCAAAACGCACCATTTCAATGAATATGTGGGTATCATGCACCCATTTCTCGCGAAATCGATAATGCACGAACTGTCACGAACTGTAGTGGGTATAAAACTGTGGCCGATTCTTGGACCTACCTCTCCTTGGTCAACAATGCCACGCCTAACTCAAATTCAGAGAAACCAGGCTATCGGACGTTTGGAAGCTGGAGAGTCTGTCCAAGATGTTGCCCGTCATTTCAACGTTAACATAACCACAATTTACCGTCTCCTGCATCGATACAATGCTACACAGACCACAGATGACCTTCCTCGGAGCTGTCGTCCTAGGGTCACCACACCTCGACAAGATCGGCAGATTACCCGTCAACACCAGCGACATCCGTTCCTAACTGAAAGTGAAAGTGCTCGACAGACCATATGAACACATAATCGACACATTAGCCGGGACACTGTGATCCGACGTCTCCGTTCCAACAACCTCAGATGTCGCCGACCAGCACATCGTCCTGTTCTCCAACCCCGGCATCGACAAGCACGACTTCAGTGGGCACAGGGTCATCAAAATTGGCGTCATCGTGAGTGGAGGCGTGTCATCTTCTCTGATGAAAGTCGCTTTTGTGTCTCCCATGCAGACGGAAGAGTCAGAATTTGGCGGCGTTGAGGTGATCGTTTCTCTGACAGAAACGTTGTGGAAAGTGATCCATGGGGTGGACCTAGCGTCATGATATGGGCAGGGATTGGACTTAATGCGAGACTTGGACCCATGTGCTTTCTGAATGTTGGTCAAGGTCGGGGACACGGCGTCACTGTTCAGCGGTATATCGACCAAGTGATCAGACCCCACGTTGTTCCATTTTTTGCACAACGTCAACAACACATTTTCCAGCAGGACAACGTTCGTCCCCATGTTGCCAGAGGTACCATGGCCTTTCTGCAAAAACACAACATCCGTGTTCTACCATGGCCAGCCCTTAGCCCTGATCTGAACCCCATCGAACACTTGTTGGATGAGGTTCAAAGGCGTCTGCACAATGTGCGCCCAGTCCCTACAACTGCCGATGAACTACGAACAGCTGCTCTGGATGAGTGCAGGACCTAGGGCCTTCACAAATCGTCTGATCCACTCAATGTACAGGAGATGTGTGGCAGTGAGCAATGCTAATGGTGGTCACACCAGGTACTGACTGACATTTTGGGTATTGACCCGAAACTGTGTAGGCCCTTAACATTTGAACAAAACAATTATGTCATCTGCCTTTTAATCCATTAAACTGTCTTCAGTCAATTTTTTGTCATTCTTGCCCTATAAGTATTTCCTGTCTTTACTGTGGAAAATAAATAACCAGTATACTGCATACCCGACTTGCGTTTCTTTTGCGTGTGAGTACATATTTCCTACTGCAGGTCGATTTCCTTAACGCTACCATCAAGCCAATTCATTATGTCTCCGATCTCTTTGGGGCGTCATGGAACCCAGTCGCAAAATCGGCCACGAGAGAGGCACGAGTCGCTGTATCATTCGTGACCAACTCGTGTTATTCCGGGACAACTTGCAGGTTACGGAAAGGGGCGAGTGGTGACGAATGTCGTTATATTGCTTGTCCCGAATAACACGAGTTGGTCACGAATGCCAGACAACTATGATCGCGGGTTCCAAGCCCGGTTTGTCAGCAACTCACCCATGCTCGCGGCTGTCGTGCTGAACGTCTAAGACTTGCATAACGTCAATTCTTCATCAAGCTGACACGCCGTTATGTACTAAAATACTGTTAAAAGCAGTGTTAAACCGACTCACTCACTCACTTTCAAGGGAAGTTTAATGTGAACAGATTGCACTATGGGAAGTTGTGAGCTTCAAGGAAATAAACTCAGGTTGACACTGAAATCAAATATTCATCACGATTATGACCCTTTTGGTGAGTATCGGATCTGAGCTTGAAGTGATAAACATCAATGACATTCCGATGATAACATTATGATATCTTATAGCTAAAATGGATAGAATTAGGACCTACTGTGTTTTGAAATTTGATGTAGTCCCACGTAATTTGGTTGACGGAGATGGCAACGAATATCGATCACAAAAAGCTTTGTGAACAATATGTTGTCCAACAAAAGATTTTTCAAACAATTTTTATAATGTTATATTATACTTTCATTGTCGGTTGTTTCAATGAGGAAATAGCTTAAATTGTTCACAATTCTGGTCACCATAGAACATGTCCTTAACAGTTTCATAAACATTTCATTCGTATGCAAAAGAAATGCCTTCGTTCAATCTTTTAATGTTATCATCGAAGCAGTCAGGGTTGCGTTCTAGAACGCCAAAAACATCCGATATCAAACTACCGTATTTCCTCAATTTGACGCTATGCCGTCGATTAATTTCGCGAGAGCCCTTGACTCGGCGTGTTTTAGAGACCCGTGTGTAATATAGAGTGAGTGAGTGAGTATGGTTTTACGCCGCTTTTAGCAATATTCCAGCAATATCACGGCGGGGGACACCAGAAATGGGCTTCACACATTGTACCCATGTCGGGAATCGAACCCGGGTCTTCAGCGTGACGAGCGAATGCTTTAACCACTAGGCTACCCGACCGCCCCGTGTAATATAGAAAACATATAGATACGTTTTACAGTTCATATGGGGGTGATCAATCAGCAGCCATATTTTATTATGTAGGCTATCTATGTATCCATACACTGGTTTTTTTGTGAAAAGGCTTCATATATTTGAAAGGGGCTTCCGTAGCAAAAAGGAAACCTCCTTTAACCAATCAGAATCAAGCATTCATCAATGTAATGGTAGAATTGTCATTAAACCGCCCACATGCTATCAGAAATAAGCGGGCCACTGTAACTTGATACTGCCCTCATATTGCTTGACGACGGGCCATTATCACGCCCATTGGTAGGTGACGTCATATTGATGTTCAATAGTGACGTCGTCTGGTTTGTTCTATGACGTTTCCATATTTGTGAAAGTGGGTCAGTGACATTCGTTGTGTGTTGATGCAGTAAATGTTTCAAAACCGATAGTATTGGGTTTTTTTATTTGATAACAAATTGTATCCATTTTAGCTATAATAACGGTAAAGCTATTTTTCAGGGCATTATCATTTGCAGAATCCCTCGCTCTTTTCAACTGGCCTCCTTTGTCGAGCACTTTGTCGGGCCGTTAGTGGAAGACCTTGGGCTTCTGCCAATGATAATGCCCTGAAAAATAGGTTACCCATATAATACCAGCGTCATGGAGTCTATTTAGAACAGTACAACACAGTACCTGTACATGTCTTTCCGTCACCGTTGAAGCCTGGTTTACACGCACACAAGTAGGACGCGACAATGTTGGTGCAGTCTGCATTTACGTCACAGTCGTTGGATCCCGTTATACACTCGTTTACGTCTGAAAAAAAGCAACGAATGAATGTTGTTGTACGTCACAGTTAGCCTTCTCACGGCGACCTGTAAATAATTGAGTCTGGACCAGACCAGGATTGATATGAATGGTTATTGAGCCATATTATTCAACACTAACGGCAAGTATGAAGAACTGATACTTAATGTCATTTGGGATACTTATGCCCAAATGAAGAAACTCTTTTTGCTTGTTTGTTTGTTTGTTTGTATATTGTTTAACTCAGCAATATTGGAGCTATATGACGGCAGTCTGGAATATAATCGAGTTTGGACCAGACAATCCAGTGATTGTCATCATGAACATCGATCCGCGCAGTTGGGATACGATGACAGGCATCAAGTCAGCGAGCATGACCACCCAAATCCGTTAGTCGCCTCTTACGACAAGCATAGTCGCCTTTCACGGAAAGCATGGGTTGCTGAAGACCTATTCTACCCAGGATCTTCACAGGTCGGCGGGGATGTCTCACGTCTTATTTAATAAAACGCATCATTTACTATTTCATAAAATATTTATTGTTCCCCTTTGAGTGCTCACATGTCAGTGAATTGACCAATTGGAATTTAATCATGATTGGTGATTGTACCTATACTGCGGTCAAAAAAGTAGACACCCGTGTTTCATTGTGTCTAAAATGAAACAAACAAGAAATGTACTCCGATGTTGATGTATTTGACACAGGCGCTCTAGACCTTTAGTTTGTAATGTGTCTCGGCATTTTCAGCCTAGTAACGTCTTGATAACTTTGGTAATTTTTTTATCAAATCGATTTTGCAAGTGTATTTTTCCTTTTGCATTATTTGTTTGTTTACATTTTAACGCTGCTCTAAGCGGTATCCCCACCATATTACGATAAATATGTAAATAATTGAGTCTGAACAAGCACACTGATCGGTCAGTCCATTACAACCGACTTCCCCGGTGGCGTTGTGGATAGAGCATAAGCTCGGATAACAGAAGGTTGGTGGTCCCATGCCCTGAAGGCGTCATAACAAAAGGCGTTAAAAGATGGTACTTGTTGTTACCCTGTCTGGCGCTTGGCATTAATGGGATAAAACAAGGACTTGTCGGCTAGGAATCAATTTCATCATGGTTTTTATGTTAAGCTGCTGAATGGTATCTCAGCTGGTGAGCACTCTAAAGGAAAAGCACAAGTACCAGACACACACATACACACACACACACACACACACACACACACACACACACACGTGCACGCACGTCGTGTAAATGCAGTACTCTTAAACACATCGTCACTTGGCCACCTGTGCCCCACCCCTCACAGATCTCATGGTTTGGTACAGAGTCAATGTCTCCCTTACTCACCTGAGCAGGTTTGGCCATCACCTGTGAAACCCGGTTTGCATACGCACGCGTCGTTTTGACGTTTGTTCAGACAAACGGCATTGGTAACGCATGGAACGACAATGTCTGCACAGTTGTCTGGATCTGAAACATAAAAAATAAAAGGAGTTTCGTCTTTTGTTGGCTTGTGTACAATGCTGCATTCAGCGAAATTAACAACGTCAAAGTCTCGTCTATCTATTGCACAATGTCCCACCCTGGTTCCACAGGGGATGCAGTAAACCTGGGGTACGACACAGTGTTATCCTAGCATACCAGCCATAGTGTAACCCTTTCAGACCAGGCTTAGTGTAACCCTGGGACACAAGCGATAGCGTAACCCTGGGATACCAGCTTTAGCGTAGCCCTGGGGTACCTGCCGTAGTGGATCCCTGAGATACCAACCAGTGTAACCCTGGGATACCAGCCGTAGTGTAACCCTGGGATACCTGCCTTAGTGTTACCCTAGGCTAAAAGCCAAAGTATAACCCTGGGATACCTGCCTTAGTGTAACCCTAGGGTAAAAGCCATAGTGTAACCCTGAGATACCAGCCACTGTAACTCTTGGGCACAGGCCGTAGTGTAACCCTGGGGGACCAGCCGTAGTGTAACCCTTGGATACCGGCAATAGTGTAACCCCAGGGATACCAGCCATAGTGTTACCCTGAGATACCAGCCATTGTAACCCTGGGATACCGGCCTTAGTGTAACCCTGAGATACCAGCCATTGTAACCCTGGGATACCAGCCATAGTGTAACCCTGAGATACCAGCCACTGTAATCCTGGGATACCTGCCTTAGTGTTACCCTGAGATACCAGCCACTTTAACCCTAGGATACCAGCCATAGTGTTACCCTGAGATACCGGCCACTGTAACCCTGGGATACCGGCGATAGTGTAACCCTGGGCTACCAGCCGTAGTGTAACCCTGAGATACCAGCCATAGTGTAACCCTGGGATACCAGCCATAGTGTAACCCTGGGCTACAAACCGGAGTGTAACCCTGAGATACCAGCCACTGTAACCCTGGGATACCTGCCTTAGTGTAACCCTGAGATATCAACCACTGTAACCCTGGGATACCGGCCATAGTGTAATCCTGAGATACCAGCCGTAGTGTAACCCTGGGATACCGGCATTTGTGTAACCCTGGGATACCGGCCACTGTAACCCTTGGATACCGGCATTTGTGTAACCCTGAGATACCAGCCACTGTAACCCTGGGATACCGGCATTTGTGTAACCCTGAGATACCAGCCATTGTAACCCTGGGCTACCAGCCATAGTGTAACCCTGGGCTACCAGCCGTAGTGTAACCCTGAGATACCAGCCATAGTGTAACCCTGGGATACCAGCCATAGTGTAACCCTGGGCTACCAGCCGTAGTGTAACCCTGAGATACCAGCCATAGTGTAACCCTGGGATACCGGCCATAGTGTAACCCTGAGATACCAGCCGTAGTGTAACCCTGGGATACCTGCCCTAGTGTAACCCTGGGATACCAGCCATAGTGTAACCCTGGGATACCGGCCATAGTGTAACCCTGAGATACCAGCCACTGTAACCCTCGGATACCGGCATTTGTGTAACCCTGAGATATCAGCCACTCTAACCCTGGGATACCGGCATTTGTGTAACCCTGAGATACCAGCCACTGTAACCCTGGGATACCGGCATTTGTGTAACCCTGAGATACCAGCCATTGTAACCCTGGGATACCGACATTTGTGTAACCCTGAGATACCAGCCACTGTAACCCTGGGATACCTGCCTTAGTGAAATCCTGAGATACCAGCCACTTTAACCACGGGATACCGGCCATAGTGTAACCCTGAGATACCAGCCACTGTAACCCTGGGATACCGGCATTTGTGTAACCCTGAGATACCAGCCACTCTAACCCTGGGATACCGGCATTTGTGTAACCCTGAGATACCAGCCACTGTAACCCTTGGATACCTGCATTAGTGTAATCCTGAGATACCAGACACTGTAACCCTGGGATACCGGCATTTGTGTAACCCTGAGATACCAGTCACTGTAACCCCGGGATACCTGCCTTAGTGAAACCCTGAGATACCAGCCATAGTGTAACCCTGGGATACCAGCCACTTTAACCCTGAGATACCAGCCACTGTAACCCTGGGATACCGGCCATGGTGTAACCCTGAGATACCAGCCACTGTAACCCTGGGATACCGGCCATAGTGTAACCCTGAGATACCAGCCACTGTAACCCTGGGATACCGGCATTTGTGTAACCCTGAGATACCAGCCACTCTAACCCTGGGATACCGGCATTTGTGTTACCCTGAGATACCAGCCACTGTAACCCTGGGATACCTGCCTTAGTGTAATCCTGAGATACCAGCCGTAGTGTAACCCTGGGATACCGGCATTTGTGTAACCCTGAGATACCAGCCATTGTAACCCTGGGATACCAGCCGTAGTGTAACCCTGGGATACCGGCATTTGTGTAACCCTGAGATACCAACCGTACAGTAACCACAGACAGATTAAAGCACTACATGCTGAAAAAATGGCGCCCCTGTTTAAAATCTGACCGAATTCTGTCAGCACATTTCACAGACACGATCTAAGGGATCTTTCAAGGAATGTTTTAGCTTCACAGCCCTTGTAGTTTCAGTGATGTCGAAAATTCAAGAGGAAGGTCCCAACCAACACTACCAATTTGAAATAATCATCCCCAGAAACTTTCTCTCAATACTACAAACTTTAATTAATCACACCAGACGTTCTCGACGAAACACTAAAACCTTGCAAAAATCTTCGGACGCCCCCTCTCTCTCTCTCTCTCTCTCTCTCTACACTACTTGCAAAGATTTTCCGCAGACGCTCTCTGTCCTTACTACAAACTTGAAATAATCATTCTCGGACACTCGTGCTCCTAATTCTAGAACCATGAAAAGACCAGTCTCTGAAACTCTCACTCAATAATACACCCTCTCCTAATCCTGCAAACTTGTATAATACTCTTCTAATTATAGAAACATGAACAGGAGCCTTCCCATAAACTCTCTCTCAATAATACAAATTTGAACTAATTATCCTCAGACGCTCGCCCCTAATATTACAAACGTAAAAAGGTGAACCTCAGACATTCTCTCCTGATCCTGCAAACTTGCAATATTCCTCCTCAGACACTCTCTCTCAAAACTTAAGACGTGGAAAGATCGTCCTCAGCAGCGCTCTCTCTCTCTCTCAATGCTACAAATTTGAAATAATAATCTTCTTATTCTAGAAACATGGACAGGGACCTTTCCCAGAAACTTTCTCTCAATAATACAAGCGTGAATTAATTATCCTCAGACGCTCTCCCTTAATATCACAAAAAAAGAGACGATCCTCTTACACTGTCTCCGTATCTTGTAACTTGTAATATGCTCTCTCTCTCTCTCTCTCTCTCTCTCTCTCTCTCTCTCTCTCTCTCAATACTATAGCCTCAATACTACGCTCTCTGTCGTTAAGACGAACTAAACAAAATAATTCTCCTAACTCTAGAAACGTGAACAAATCAACCTGAGAAATTCTCACTCAGTAACACAAACTTCTATTAATTATCCTCAAACGCTAGCTCCTAATACGACAAACAAGATCATCCTGAGACAATCTCCCTTAATGCTATAAAAGTGAAAACATCATCCCCAGACCATTACCAGAAGATTGAAATAACGATCATCCCCCGGAAAGCCCCCGCTGCAAGTGTGCAGCTATGACCTACCCTTCAGTTGCAGGTACGATGCTGTGCTGCTGGGTCTTCTGGGATAGGAGTCCTTCATGTGAGTGAAGTATTTAGAACACGAAGACGTTTGTTCATCAAACACTACCGACAGACAATTCACATTGTAGAAGCAATCCACAGCGCATGCCAAGTAATTAATCTCTTTATGACTTCCTAACGTATAGGTGTCAAAGATAAATCCGTCCAATGATAGAAACCTTTCAAACTGATCGACTCCACAACTTTCGTTCATGAAAATATATGACAAAACGCCTTTCGAAATGAACACGAAATAGAACAGAAACGCACACCATTTGAAAATCATTTCAAATAATTGTGTAGCGGTTATTCTTCAACATAAGATGAGAGTCCTTGCGAAGTTGACGTTAATTGCTGATGAGCTCTCCAGAGTGTAAGTCTAGACGAAGAAGGCTGACTAAACCATCCAGTGTTTAAAAACCAACTGTTCCTAATGAGTTCGGAAATTAATCCAAGTGTCACTGTTCAATCGAGGGTACACATATGTGGAATCTATGAGAACAAATAGGAACCTCAAACAAATCAATAAATCATCTTCAGGAACAGAACATATTGTTTCCTTGTTTCTGAGGTATGATCAAGTAATGATCGGCAGTTGTAACTGCAATGTGTTGTCATGAAGACGTGCATAAATATAGCCAAGCAAAAATGTTTAAAAACAATGCAGTTATTTTTAAACGATACGTTAACTGTACGTTCTGAATGTTACAATTGTTCAAGCACATACAACTCGTTGAAACCACACGTTTTCCAGGATATACTAATTGTGTAAGATCACATGATATCTCGGAGCAGATCACTTGATGATTTCGTATAAGTATTTTCTTGACTTTTGAATGTTCAGATCTAAAACTGCTCAAAATATGCACATGACGTCATAGTATAGTTACGTTGATATGTCACAAGGGAACGCTGCCATATCTACAGATGGAAGCATTTTGCAATAAATAAAAAAACTCTCCGCCAGTTCGTGGAAATAATCAGATATTATATTTACCTTTGCAACTCACGTAAAAAAAGATATTAATTGAGGGAATATCTCAAGAGTCAACGTGGTCATTTAATTAAATATATTGTTTGTACTTAATGAATGATACGACTGATAAAAAATATCAGCATATACCTATCAATGATATGATGCATTTAGCATTTGCGATAACACCAACATAGAGACGGTCATATCACAAGGTGTTTAATAAATAACGGTTTAAACCTCCTGCATTGCAGAAATGGTTTCTCAATGCATGTTCAATGGGCGATATCAGACCGGGTGGCATGAAATTGGAGTTACGTCCCTTAGTGCCTCGTCTGTTCGTCCAGCTTTACTTGACAATGTTTTCCAAACAAATTGATACATTTTACAATTTGATGTTATGGTATAGGATAAAGAGGTTTACATGGGGCAATTTCATATCATACCCCCATCAACCCTCGACACCCATATCAGCGCTTTGGCCTTCGGTCTTCCGGCTCATATGAGGGACTCAGGTTGATGGGGGACACGGGTGGCCCCGAGGTTCGCTGTGCAGAGTTGCGTCCCTTGGGCACGCCAGAAACCTATGATTATGGGTTAAAATCCCGGTTCGCCCCGATTATGTTTCTAGGTTTGTCAGCACCATACCCGTGCTCGTGTCTTTCACCGAAATGATAAACATCTGAGACCTGCATCACTTCGGGCTTTCCTTCAACATTAAGCTGACACGCCTTGATATAACTGGAATAGTGTTAGCAGCGGCGTTAAACCAAACTCACTAACTCACTCACTCAATTCTCTGTCAAGGTGTATTGTGAAAATCAAAATGTCTCTGAGAAGCATGATTGTGAACATGAACCCTTCTCCTGTAAAGTATTAATGTAAACACGGACCATCTGTATGTATTATTGTAAACATACATTTTCCCATGAAAATTATTATTAAGAACATGATTTCTTTTGTTTATAAGCATTATTGGGAAAATAAACGGTTTTTTATAAAGCATTATTGTTTACACGAACATTTCTCTGTAAAGTATTGTTGTGAACATAAACCATTCACTATGAAATAGGGCTGGTCGGGTAGCTTCGTGGTTAAAGCGTTCGCTCGTCACGCCGAAGACCCGGGTTCGATTCCCGACATGGATACAATGTGTGAAGCCCATTTCTGGTGTCCACCGCAGTGATATTGCTGGAATAGTGTTCAAAGCTGCGTAAAACCATTCTCACTCACTATAAACTAACATTAACGTTTCACGGTACAATATGTTTTGTGTACACATTTTACCTTGTAAATTTTTATTGTGAACATGAAATCTTAGCTATTAGCATTAATTTTGAACATGAACGCTTCTCTGTAAAGCATTATTGTCAACAAGAACGTTTCGCTATAAAGCTTTATTGTGAACAAATATTTACTAGTTTATTTAATTCGTTATTGAGCGTTATAATATGTTATTAAACCTGACTTTTCCAGTACAAGTACATTAAAATACATGTTCTTGAAGTATATTATTGATCGCCTAAGTTCCCAATAGGCACCATTGCTTACAACGATAACACAACTCTATACGCCATCCTGCGGACAATGCAGGGCGGGAATCAGTTCTCCACATTCCTAACATGGGCTAATGGTAATATTTCGTAATTCAAGACCTATATATCGAGTTGTCATCAGGTCATTCAAGGTGTGTATAGCCCGCATATCCGTATTCAATATGTTTCTATTACAGCATACACTATACATTAATCGATACATTTATCCTTGTTTGTGTTAAGTTCGCTGTGGGACATGACCCTGATGCACAAAGAATTATGTGAGACCTACGGATCAATGAGACACATTAAGTGGAAAGAGTCGTTGTGTTGGAACAACGAGGGCCAACTCGTGCACGTTTGTGATAAACGTAAATATTACTTGCTGATGTTGATGGATTTATTGTGAACCAACAGAACTCCGAAAAAAGTTATATGACGAAAAACTCCCAAATCACACTTTCAGTTAGAAAAGAGACGAGTAACTGTTTGTTCATGAATAGGAATCACTGAGCCTGGCTGTTGACTTCATACTGCTAAGAAACCTATTCGAATATTTAAACTATGTTTATCTGTTTCTTATTTTTCTCCTCGTAGGTTTACTGTAACATTGTTACAGGTAACATAATGTAACGCTCCATGACACTTGACTTTGTAAAGATAATACAAATATCTTAAAAATATAATTGCATGACCCGCTTGCAATGTTTCGGGGGTGTTTGGCGTTCCTGTTTCCCAACCGTTCAATCTTTGGCAGTCCTTTTTCAAAGCTGATCTTTCCTCTGCCTTCCGATCATAACCTTTATATTAAACGATACACATTATGTTGGGGCAGAATATGAATCTAGAAGTGGACTGTTTTCCATTGCACACCTTTCCCCTCACATCTAGTGTGGTATCAACACTATTTTACAATTATTCGTAAACGCATGCCCATGATGACTTAAGTCGGACTCGTGCAATGATCTCTTCTTTCATTAGATATCTCTTATGATTATGGAAAGAGTTATGTCGTTTTTAATTATGTGGAATGTGATGTAGAAAGAATGAATGCATATTGAGTTACAACCAATGTTATTAAAACCAGATCTTTGTTCTCGCTACCGCTAAACAAAGATCTGAGGACATCCCATTAGGGGTCACGTCAGAACGACCTTTCATCCCACCAATCTGAGCGTCGCTTACCCGACCATGAAAGTGACAGTCGGAATGTGATTTCTAATCATGCAACCTCGAAAACTTTAACACGGGTATTCCGAACGATATTTACGGGTTTAACGACTGAATCCATACAATTTTGACCATCTATTAGCCATTCAGAATGTTCTTTTGTTCAGGTTTCAAATTTTAAAGCGAGAATTTGTGAAGAAGTGTTTCGAGGCGTTGTCGCCAATTTGAAATTAGTGCCGTAAAGCACGAGAAAGATGCCTTCTGATTGGCTAATGTCGAATACTTGTCCGTCATTCTATTGGTCGGTCAGGGTGAGCGAAAGGTCTGCCTGACGTGACCTGTAATCGGATGTCCTCATATCTTTGTTTAGCGGTAGCGAGAACTAAGATCTGATTTTAATGAGATTGAGTTTCAATATGTCAACAGACTGCCGGTCAGAAGTAAAGATAACCGAACTGTTAAGAGGAAATCTTTTTTTCCAGCCGCACATGTCTACATATATCTGGATGCTCAAAGTGCTGACATTATTACCCCAGTCAGTGGATCAGTGTACACTCGATTTTCATTCTCATCTTCCGGTGCACAAAATAACCAAAGATGTCTTGTCTATAGCCGATACCCATCCAACCAATCTCCGCCACCGACGTTGCTTACCTTAGCCATGCGACCTCGTGCCACCAATGATATGTGGACTTTTGCATGTGCATATTGCAAGGTATGTAATAACTAGACCCGTATTGATTCCTTGCCAGGGTCACATGGCTTGCCATAAGCTTTTTGAAATGGGCGATCGACATCAGCCCGGGTAGTGAGAACGTGGTGTCTTCCAAAGCAGGTGAAAGTGTATTGCATTTACTTGCAAATCAAATTTGTTTACGGTTTTATGTTATGGTATAGGATGAAGACGTGACAAGCCAAACAAAAGTGAACATTTTAATTAAGTAATAGATGACCCGTGAAGATCTGGGGTAGAATAGGTCTTCAGCAACCCATGCTTGCCATAAAAGGCGACTATGCTTGTCGTAAGCGGCGACTAACAGGATCGGGTGGTCAGGCTCGCTGACTTGGTTGATGCATGTCATTGATCACAATTGCGTGGATCTATGCTCATGGTCCAGACTCGATTATTTACAGACCGCCGTCATATAGCTGGAATATTGCTGAGTGCGGCGTTAAACAACAAACGAACGAACGAATAAGTAATAGATACATTTGGCTACTGTAGTTTGCGCATCATGCATGGCTGGAGATTCGAACGATTTTGAGTCCGAGGCTGTTTACTACCTGTGTACACTTCATTCTTGAACGAGTCTCATCGCCAAAGAAAATGATATAAGAATAAAATCACACTACACTGCCACACAGAACAAGTCACGCGTCGTATTCAAAGACCTTTATCATTCCTTTTTTCTTGACACATTTTTTTGGACTGCATTTCAAGCTTAAAGCATTGCATGAACAACTAAGTTGAATATACTTGAATATAGCCATAACAATATAATCATATACTACATCTTTTTTTAGTTGAATTGACACAACCACCCAGCATATCAAACCTGTTCAACCCATAGACCATCCGTCAGCGCGTGTCTGACAACCTATTATAAACACAACCACTGACTTCGGACAAATCATCTCTCCTGCTGTGCAATCCACATCGTATGGTTGTATTGATGTGGAACTCGTGTCATCCTCATCTTGTGAGAAATTATCTTTTTATCTACTTAATCTAAACACGAATCGGTAGTTGTCTGGATGTTTAGATAGAT